AAATTTTTAATATACAGACTTTATAAAATTAAGTAGGTTCTTTATATTATTCAATAAACATCTTTCATTGTCAAATTAAATTTTTAGAGGCGTTTCACATTTATAAAACTCTTTCAGTTCTAGTTACGGATCCCAAGTCCAGGCTGTCTTTACCTTCAGCTTTTAAGGAAAGGAAATTATTTCGTAGCTGTTTTTATTTTCCATCAATCGATGCTGCCAATAACTTGACTTCCTTCCTGCCATTATTATCGCTTGAAGACAGACCTGTCTTTCGTCATTTGCGCTTCTGCAGCTGAAGAGAAGTAGGTTCTGTATTTAAACCTTAGAAACCAACCCTGCAAATTTGTGAAAATTACGCTAACTCCTGTTGCCTTAACATCTCCAATAATCACTATATTCGGCGTGTTATTTTAATGGGGATATCTTAAATGGGAGGGCATACATCATGGTTTCAATCTAAGTAATTAATCAATAAGTTAGAATTTTTAGAATATTGGAACTTTATTCATGTTACATCTTTTAGAAAAACATACAAAACTTCCATACGTACGTACCCCACAAAGGAAAGAAAAAATGTTTTATTGACAGACGTGTTTTTTATAATGAACATTGTCAAGCAGAGGAGGGATTTAAGAATCGAATTTACTCAAGATGTATTCAATAAAAACTTGAGGAATGATATATATTTATCGCTAACTGCAGCTCCTTAGGTAAAGTTTTCAAATGCAAATTTCTGATAGAGCCCTTTTATATTAGGTAAAAGTTCATATAAAAAGAAGGAAATTTAAACCTCTTTAAAAATACCGAAATTCAAAATTTTGTATCTAAGGAAACTGAATTACAGTAAACCCCACTGAATACGAACTGGCTTAACACTCGGTTAACATGAACAAAAGTTCGGGTCCGGCAGCGATGTACATGATCTTATATTAAGTTTTATCGATTAACACGAATTTAGGTTTAGCAAAAATTACGAACTGTTTTTTAGTCTGTTTCATCATTAGATTTTATCATTTAATATGAACTTTCAAAGTTTTTATATTTTTCTTCCTCTTGTTTCTCTGCTACGACTGCGTTCAGAAATGTTTCCCCACGTTTAACCTCTTCGCCGTCGGTAACGCGTCTAGCACGTTCAGGTGAACCTTCCGCAGGGCGGCCGGAACGCGCTACAAGCGTTCTTCTACATTTTAAAACTTTTAAACGTTTAAAACGTTTTCTAAATGTTTACTTTTAACATAAGATACAAGACAGTGAGAGATGGCTTCAACGTCTACTCAGCAGAAAAGAGAAAAAATGAGGTTGTGAATTGGAAAGAGAAGAAGGATATACGTTTGAGGAGTACAGTCCATAATAACTCGATGATTGATGTTGGAACACGGAAAAGAACTGTAAAAAAACAATAATTGTAAAAGTTTACAACAACAAAATGAAGGAGTGGACCGCCTGGAACAGCCGATGTTATCAAATTATCCTGCTGTTAGAAATAAGCAGATATATTATTATTTTTCCATTATGCTTTATTTAGTTATAATTTTACTTAATATTCATTGACATTCATCCACTACGAAAGTCATGTATGGAAAGTTATGATGTACAGAAAAAACAACTTTACACGCAACGAAAAACAGACGGCCGCTGGGGGAAAAGTTTCGTGGACAGGAGAGGACGGCGAAAGGGTTAATTGAAAACCTCACAGAATGCACGTATTCTTTGAAACATAGCCAGCATGAGTAACACTGCTCAAGAATCGCCCTCATCCGGTCAACAATGAGCTTCGATCAACAAATGCAGTTCTGTATTCATAAAATGAGGAGGCCAAAATTATCCCCCCAATCCCGCAAGGAAATGTTGAACGCCTTGGACATTTTAGAAAGTTTTGCTGCAATATCCAAACTGACCACCAGTTTTACGGAAGCCATGAGCATGTTACCAGATCGTGAGTTATTAAACACTTTTGTTTCCGTCTGCAGCAGCGCAGTATACCGCAATTTTTCACCAATAAGTTAGTTATCTGTGAGTCCATTTTTTCGAGTTACAGTACATTAATTAATGTGGTACTCAGTATTTTCTATGAGGACATGCATATTGTTACAAATTTTGTACATATTTAAATAATTTTAGTGGAATTATATGTAAAACTGCAGTATTTTTTCTTTGTATAATGTAACATGAAAATCTAAAGAAGCGAAGCTTTGCTGGAAATGTAAGAATACAGAGGCAAATCTATTCAACATTGAGTAAATGGCTATATCGCTAATTTGGTAAGATTCGCCAAGCTGACGACGGATTTCGCGACATTTTTGGTTCAGTCCCTTTTCACTCTAATGGGTATTATAGCTGAATAACAGTAATTGATCCTGTATTTAACTGTAACTCTATCCTACCCTCATATGCCTTCCAGTAATTTCGAGAAGGGGAAAGTACTACAGATCTCTCAGCGGCCTGGTGGAAACTATACAAGACTGGACACAGCACCTTCTTGTAGTGGTAGAAGAAATGGTAGAATCATTAGAAATATTTATATACTATATATAAAACAAAAATAGAAAAATAATTAAATATCTAAATTACCTCCAACGCTTGAGGTGCATAAGATTGAATTGTAAAGAAATTTTTCATTAAAAAAATTATGCTGTCCCAAAGGTCTCGAGACTAGACATTATTGATCTCCATTTTTTTATGTTATTGTGTTTATAGAACACACAGTACAGACAGAGTACACCTAGATAATTGAAAATCGCATAGGTCGGAAAAGCTTTCCTGGCGCGGTAGTAACAATACAAAACACAAGAAAGGAAGGACACGAACAAGGTGACAGAACTTGTTTATTAAGCTTAGTACAGCTAAAATGTTGAGACAGCTTTGCTAAGACATTACAGCTTTGATGTTCGTCTATACCAGAATCCAGCGTATCTTCAACATTTGATAGGCAGGGTGATGCCTGGTGCCTTGGCCAGGAAGATCGCCAAACCTCACGCATTGACTACTTCCTCTTGGGTTACGTCAAGACACTGGTGTACGGAACCCCTGTTAACAGCGCTAAGAAACTTGTTACACGCATTGTGGCAACTGCTGGGAAAGTCCGGGACACGCTCGGTATTTTCCAAAACATCAGATCTTCCATACGCCGGAGATCTGAGGCTTGCATAACGGTCTGGCATTGTAATTTCGAACACCTTCTTTCATAAAGACCGTTGTCTGTTTTTTTTTTTTCCTTATTTCCTGGTTTTGCTGTACTAAGCATAATAAACAAGTTTTCTCACCCTGTCCTTGTCCTTCCTTTCTTGTGTTTTGTGTTGTTACTACCGCGTCAGGAAAGCGTTTCTGACCATGCATTGCTGTGTGATTTTCCATCGCCTAGGTATCTCTCCTGAAAGTTTGTGACCACTACCCTAAAACACCGTTATATATATATATAGATAGATAGATAGATAGATAGATAGATAGATAGGGAGAGAGAGAGACAGAGATGAAATAATTTGGAATTCTGATGGCATGGAGATGCGTAAAGAAGAAGCTTGCAGTCATATCCGATTTCATACTCCATTTTATTATCACCGACATTTCCATAAGCTGGTACGGATAAATTGACGCAATAAGCACATGTTCTTGAACGACTGCGTCTATGCCGTTCATAAGTTTGAAATATCTTAAACAGCAATCATTAATTAGCAAGAGGAGCTTAAAGCAAGTATGATCTGTTATAAAATGAAAGTTACATTTCAGTTCCAAGAAGTAATTTCTCTTTGCTTTATCTTGATTTGTTAATATTTGAGCTTCTAAAATTATTATTGGCTGAAGCCTTCTGTAAATTATCTGTTTCATGAACTACATATGAAAGTTATATGACAGCTATTAATTTTGAAACGGCACAGTTTAGTGTTATTTACTATAAGCAGTTACTATTTGTAGGATGGAAAGGAAACTAAGCAAATTAAAATGGAGAATTAAAGGACTATTGCAAAATTAAATTAGTATTTTAATTTACATGCTATTTATCTTACGCACATATACATACATACATATATGTATGGAAGATAAACATTATTACTACATCCGTTAACTGAAACGGATTGATGTGTCACTAAAACTTAATTCTATGGCGATTACTTTTGGATTTCCTTTGGTTTTATTATCCAGGTATTTCGGTTTTTTTTTTTTTTTTTTTTTTTTTCCTTCCTTTTATAAATTATTCGTTTTTGCTATACCACATTTAATGTTACAATGGAAGTTTTTTTCTAATTATTTTCAATAATATTAATCAGACAAATTAATAGGTTATCTAATTTTATTACTACGCACATTTTAGACTTAGCCACTAAATAAGTGGAACATATTTTCCTAAACTTTTGTCCCTCTAATCTTTTTTTTTAATTTCAAAACATTTATTGCTCTAATGTTGCAGATTTTAAGAACTAATTATTTTTATTTTATGTATTTTGGATCAAACTTTCATTTATTATTTTTCATAGCTTCTCTTTTACATATTTTTTGGACTTGGTACACTTAAATTGAAAATTACTGCTATTATTAGATGTTTAAGTTTTTTTTTTGCCATAATTTTTAAAAAATGCTTGCTCGGCCTGTGACTAACCCCTATACAATGATATTTCACCTAAATATATGCCTCCCCTAAATAAGAAAAATCACCCCCAAATAAAAATACTGCTAAAAAATATGTGCCACCAGAGGTGGACCGCCTCCTCTAGCTATTCTGCACTTTAAGCCGAGTTCTGTCCTATACGAATGACAAATGTTCATGAATAAAACTTGAGGAATTCTATTTTTCAGGTAAGTTCTATAAGATATTTAATAAATAATAATATCTTGCATTTAAATCGAAAGTTACAATAGTGCATCTTTGGTCAGAAAGCTGAAAAATGTAAATTTCCGGAAATTTAATTAACGAATTCGAAAAATAGCGATAAGTGCGCCAAGCTAGCCCCGAAAGTCCGCGAAGTGTGAAAGACCAAGTACTGTGACGGCAGGGAGTGAGTTCGTTGAGTGGAATGAAAAACGTCGTGTTCTCTGTGATGCCTCAAGGGTGTTGTTGGACATGCTCTCGCGACATTAGCCATGACGTCCCTTCTCGCATCTGTGTTTATGCTCCTCCTCGTAGGTATCTCAGCAGTGGAATCTCAAGGTGAGAAATACAAAAATTTATTTAAAAATTTTAACATTTTCTGTTTTAAAAAATATATTTTTTAGGAATTTTTGAGTGAAAATTGGTATTTTTTTTAATGTCATGAAAGTTTTTTTCTCTGTTCTAGCAAATTTCGGAGTTTTTTTCATTTTTTTGTTTTGTTTCGTTTTGTTCTTCTTTCATTTATTTATAGTCTTTAATTGTCATTGTGATTTTTAAAGTTACGATTCTCGGGCTTACGTGGAAAAAGAAATATATTCGAAATGAACACTAATGTCTAATTTTCAGATTAAAAAATTTTGGCTACTAATATGAAATTTGGTTTAACAGGAGTTTTATTTGATGGAGGAAATTCATCCCCCCCCCTCAGCATCATAAAACACTTGTCAGATAAAATTTTAAGACAAATACTTCGTTTACGTTGAATAATTCTATAGGAGTTATTTTTACAAACTTTAAAAGATGCTTATTAAATTTCGTTTTGAATCTGATTTAAAATCTTTGCAAAATGTAATTGTTGTTAGTTGTGTTACAATGCTCCATTCCTCAACTCAACTATAGAGCTCCCTCTGCTCTAAACCTCAACCACGTAAAGCTCACGAATTTTATCATGGCAAAAAGACAGTGTTGCGCCTATCGTTGGTTTAGGCTTTGAATACCTTATATCAGTGGTCTCAGAGTACATGCGGGTCGTATACACGATCTGAAAACATTGAGGGGGGCAGATATTTTTTTTTTTTTTTTTTTTTTTTTTTTTTACAATTTGACGAATTTATTAAAATAAAAAATATTTTAAATAAATTTTAAAATTCTTTTACTAGCCAACAATAATAATAATAATATCGTTAAGAGAAAAAAATTAATTTATATTTCTTTTGTATCTGAAATTCAAAGTTTGGTACCTACAAGGCATTTTTGTTAATTACACTTTTTTATTCAAAGATACTGATAGCTAAATATTAAATTTCCTGACTGATATTCATTAAAAATAATTTTAACATGTTTAATTGATCGTTTAACTTACTTTAATTTAATCTAAGAATAAATAAATAACAAAATTTTCAGTTAAAACTTTCTTAGCGGGACAAAATCTGAGAATATATAATGATCACCTAACTCTCTTTCTCTTACTAAATTTTTTTCGCCCCATAAATAAAAGTACATATTCGTATGTAAATAATTATGAACATATGTTATATCTTACCACAACTTGACAGTCCATGGTTAGTTCAATTCTGATTAAAGTTTTTAGTTTTGTACAAGTTACTAGAAATTATCTTCATCTTTGGATTGCAGATGCTCATTGGTCAATCGGGTTCTTTTCTTATTCATTTTCAATACTCGAAAGAAGCTCTTCACATATAAATGTAGTCCCAAACAAAGCAATTATGTTAGGGCGAAAATTCGTAGCTGAGCTTATTTATTTTTCTTTTGCCAAGAATGAATAAAAGTAAAAGTCTTTAAATATATCTAAAAAAAAATTTACATCGCATTGTAAATTAACTTGCTCTAACTCTGACTTTCTGGTGCACTGCTCTCGTTCGTTTTTAATGGAATCGAAAACAATATACGTGTAAACTCGGACTTGAAGCAACTAAAATCTTTAAATTTGTTGCAGCACCGTACTTGCAACAAATATAAAACTGAAATGTCTTCGTGGGTTGCATAAAATTGTTTCGGGGCCCGCGCATGAGGCCCGCCGGTTTTAGACCATTGCCCTATAGGAAATGTAATAAATCAACTCACTAAAATAATAAAATTCTTTGTACTTGTATCAAGAAGCTAACAAGATGTAAACAGCATACAAGACGTGCATCATACAAAATGGAATGTTATTTACTGGGAAATAACAGAAAAAGCTATGTTCACGGGTTCGAATTACGTGACTTGAATTCCCTTGCCTTGCAATAAACATATCCCAAAGTTTTTTTTTTTTTTTTTTTTAGCCCAAAGGAGCGTTAGTTTGAAAGAGCTATTAGTCTCGAAACAGCATTTTGCGTTGAATTACTCTAAAAGTCAGAATCGCTTTTCAAAATGTTGCCATCAAATATTATCTCCCTGTTTTATATTTAAAGAAATTAAACAATGAAGAATCTGCGTAAATATATGTATGTTTTTGGCATTGTGAAAAAACGTGTGAAAAAACGACGGTACCTAGAGCCATCAAATTTTGAATTGCGTAATCCTCCTTCCGAACATGGGCAGCTGGAAGCTCGAATTTGGAATTTGTTTTATTATATATTTCTTATTATGTAAAACTTTTAAAGAATTTTCGTTAACAAACTAGGCGATTTCGAAGTGAGCAATGGTAACATTGTACGAAAAAAGGAAAAAAACTTTTTTATCTCCAACACTAGAGAATGTCTATCGGAAATTCTAAAGATATGCTGTTTTAAAATATTTCGTGATTTTGCTGTTGAAATGAATTTTATGTAGTTATGTGTCAAAAATATGATATTTAATAAATAACGGTTACACACAAAATGTTTTAAAAAACGGCCCTTTGGGAGCAATGTAAAATCAGAAAATTTTCAGATTTTTTTATTAATATGGTTTTAGGGTTTCAAAAAACCGAAAATTCTTGATGCTGTCTTTTTGTGATTTTTTTTTTTTTTTTTTTTTTTTTTTTTTTTTTAAGATTCCAGCTAGATGCTGAGAAACTCGCAGAGAATCCTCCTACGTTAGAAATGGTTTAGTTTAGTTGATTATGGCTATCTGTCCAAGGGGAGGACTTTGGAAGGCAAACTGACTCGTATACACGTTACACATGGAAAAAAACACGAAAACGCTTATGCAGCCGGCCCGTTTGCTTGGAATAAAAACACAGGTCGGAACCAGTCGGAATTACCAGTATTTAGCGATTTTACCTCTCGACCACTGGTGGGCCACGATGGAAGTGTACGTATGTGAGGAATGCTTAACATATTCATAGATCTAGCGTATTTTATTCATTTAATAAATGTTCAGTTCGTTAAAATAGCGTTCATTTACGCTAACACCATATTCCAAGCAAATATTTCTCAAACCGCATGAAGGATGAAATACACTCATGTCCATAAATTAAGGATAATTCGGAGTCACGCGGAAATCGAACTCTAAAATAAATATATCACCTGTAAAATCACTACACACATCTTCGAGAATCATATGCAAATTTCAGGAAGTAACCAGATGACACCGATGGTACATCACAATGACGAGAGTGTAAGAGAGTGATATATAAGGAATACAGGCAAAGAAGTAAAATTGTCCGCAGGCGCTTTATAAGCATTTCAGTCCAATAACCGAATAGTTATGACACAAAGGACGCATTTGGATGATTTTTTACGTGGTAGAATTATCGGCCGTCTGGAATGTGGGCGTACCCAACTGGAAGTATCAGACGAACTTGGAATTGCCCAGAGTGTCATCTCCAGGCTTTGGCAACGATTCCAAGATGATAGTAATGTGAGAAGACGTTACAGTACAGGTCGCCCCAGAGTTACAACGCCGAATGAGGACCGGTATTTGACAGTTACTGCCAAACGAAACAGGCAGAGCACAGACTCAGACCTGTCTCGTCAGCTCTCTTCAGTCACTGGTACGACAATTTCAAGGCAGACCGTGTACAGACGCTTAGGGCAGATTGGTCTATATGCCCGTAGACCTGTCAGATGCGTTCCACTTACTGCAACTCACTGTCGCCTGCGGTTAGCCTGGAGAAGAGAGCATGCATTGTGGACACCACAACAATGGGCTTGTGTGATGTTTTCCGACGAGTCCAGGTTTAGCTTGCAGTCTGATTCTTGCAGTCTCCTTTCATATGGAGAGCTCCAGGTACCTGTTACCACCAAGAAAACATCGTTGAACGACACCGTTACGGTGTTTCAGGAGTGCTCGTTTGGGGTGGAATTATTCTGGGTTCCAGAACTGACCAGCATGTTCAAATTGGAACCATGACAAGCCAAATCTATCGGGACGTCATTCTGGAACAACATGTACGTTTGTTTCGGGGCGCCATGGGCGCACAATTTGAGTTTATGGATGACAACGACCGTCCTCACCGTGCAAATATCGTAAGCGAATGCCTTCAATCGGAGGATATCACCCGTATGGAATGGCCAGCATTCTCACCGGACTTGAATCCAGTAGAGCACGTGTGGGACATGCTTGGTCGAGGAATTGCAGCCCGTCAACCTCCTCCTACATGTCTACCGGAACTTCGGAGAGCATTGCGTTTTGAGTGGTGTAATATCCTCCAAGATCAGATCGATAATTAGATGCTCAGCATGCCTAGGCATGCTGAGCATCTAATTATCGCCATGAGAGAAATTTAACAGGACTTTGAAAATCACTTACAAAAAAATTCCTTTTCCCACAATAAGAGCCCTAATTTACAGTTATTAGTTACAACTAGTAATCCCTGCAATTCTCTAACGAAATGAATAAGCGAACGCGTGAAACTCGCTACAGGATGAATTGCATGAAAATGAGTATGGAAGAATTAAAAAGCAGAAATTCATTCCAACTGTAAAGTCGTGTATATATTTCTGAGACTTAGCGATAAGATTAAACGAATGTTAATGAGGTTTTCCTTGATCTGAAACGGGTAATTAGTCCAATAACACCAACAAACTTAAAGCGAATTATTGCTATGTCTGAAGTAACTAACTACAAGGTTTAAATAAAAACAGATTTTAGAAAACAACATAGACTTTAGAAGTTAAACGCACTCCTTGTGCTAAGAAAATCAACCCCAGCTCATGGTAATGCAACTAAAAGATGAGTCAAATTCAAGTTAAAGTGTAGAATAATAGCCACAAACTACACACTTTAAATATAAAAATATAAATAGCTGACTCATTAATTCTAAGAGCGTGAAGAACAATTTGTCAGCAGCGAATAACGCAAAGCCGAAAATTTGTAGCGATCAAAGCTGGTAGAAACCAAACGTAGCGTTCACGTGCAGGCCAGACACGAGCTGTCTAAAATCGAAAACCTCAGTTTATAAGGTATTTCTC